CCGCCGCCGTGCTGTCCCCGCCCACCGTTGCCGGGCTCCGCCTGGCGCCGTCCCATCGCGCGGCGGTCTCTTTCCGGGGGGCCTCGTCGCCGGCGAGGCGGTCCGTGGCGGCGCGGGCCGCGCTGGAGCCGTCGGTGGTGATCAGCCTCAGCACGGGGCTGTCGCTGGTGATGGGCCGCTTCGTCTTCTTCAACTTCCAGCGGGAGAACGTGGCGAAGCAGGTGCCCGAGCAGAACGGCAAGACCCACTTCGAGGCCGGCGACGAGCGCGCCAAGGAGTTCGCCGGCATCCTCAAGTCCAACGACCCCGTCGGCTTCAACCTCGTCGACGTCCTCGCCTGGGGCTCCATCGGCCACATCGTCGCCTACTACATCCTCGCCACCACCAGCAACGGATATGACCCACCCTTCTTTGGCTGATCCGTCCCATGTCTCCCCTGCCTGGGTGCCGGCCGGAGCGGCTTGCTGTTGTAATCTGCCGTGTTTTCATTAGTTCTATGTTATACGCTGATGGTGTGCTATCATGTTAGTACACTGATGGAGTATGTGAGATGGTGTACTATCATGTTAGTAATCTGGACAAGTAGTGCAACCGCGTGTGTGTATTGATGATTGCCACATGAGTGATTTTATCTCTCTCTTTCCCCATAGGGCCATAGTAGAAAGGCAATTTTACTATGCACGGGATATCCTGTGCATAAATCCATCGTCCGAGGTTGCTTTGCGATCCGTGCTACCTTTTCTTTTTACTGTTTCCGGAATTTGTCTTGCTTCAAAGCGCACGGACAGTGAAACAAGAAAAAATAAATCGAACACAACATTTGAAACGAGATAACTTCTTTTTTGCGAGAAAACTTTCAATTTATTCATCTTCTATCATGGCAATACAACGAACACCAGAAATAATAAAAACTACATCCAGATCCGCAAGCCACCTAGCGATGACTACAAGCACTAAAGCAAGCCGAAGGCACGCCGTCGTCATTGGTCCTCCTTCGTCGAAGCCAGACAAAGCTTACTGTAGTAAACAGTCAGAAAGTCGTTGTGCTAAGGCCCGATAGGACCAGCACAACAGAACAACAACCGTCACCGATGAACAGTAGCGTAGATCGAAAGGATCCAACCTGAAAACACATGAACGTAGACGAACTATGACTAGATCCGAGCAAATCCACCAAGAACAGATCCACCAGAGACACACCTCCAGACGCTCACCAATGATACACGGTAGAGAAGCCAATCTCAACATCTATAGTTATACTCCTATTTTTTACAGGCAACTGACATGCGTCGCAATGGGGACACATCTTTTGTTCGCAAGCACCCTGATTTACCATCCATCTTATCATCAATACGATTACTAACCAGACGTAGACTCTGCTGCCAACTGAATCAGTACTATCGTCAATATGATTACTTACCGTTACCAAACGTAGACTTTAGCTGCCAACTGAATCATGAGACAGTTATGTTCTCCACGAGACAGTTATGTTCAGTATGTATGCCCCAGAAAAATTGCATAACTGCTTCGACAAGCATGTCAGGATGGCCTTTGACAGCTTGGTCAAGTGGGAAGTTAGGGATGGATCGAAGGCTTTGTTCTGGAGCGATCGCTGGATCAGTGGCTCCTGTGTGAAGGAGATTGCTCCGCTACTTGTGGACAAAGTGCGGCAGCAGGTAGTTAATAGGAGGAGAGTGAAAGACGCTTTGTACCTCCATGGGTGGACGCATGATATCGTGGGAGATATTAATACCGACGAGCTCTCGCAGTTCATTAGGCTATGGGAGGTGCTGGTTGACATCGAGCTCACTCCTGGCTCGGAGGACACTCCGATCTGGCAATGGGATGCCACGGGCAAGTACTCGACAAAATCGGCGTACAAAATGATGTGTGAGGGAGGAGTACGATTTCAGTGTGCATCGGCTGTCTGGCGTAGTTGGGCCACGATGACCTGCAAGCTCTTCATTTGGCTTGCACTTCAGCATAGAGTGTGGACTTTGGACCGCAGACAGAGGCATGGGCTACAAGATCATAGCTCGGCATGTTACCTTTGTGACCAAGAGGAGGACAATGTGGATCACATACTCATGCATTGTGTATATGCGAGACAAGTATGGTTCTTGTGTTTCAGAAGGCTGGGCGTTGACGAAGCTTTGATCCCAACCACGGAAGACACACTAGGTGATTGGTGGGTGTCGGCCAGGAAGCAAATTGACAAGAGACACCGAAGAGAATTCGACACACTCTGCATTTCGGTATACTGGAATCTGTGGAAGCAGAGAAATGATGTAGTCTTTCGCAACAGTAACATCACCAATGAATGAGGAGCAGCCGACCTTGTCCACCAGGAACTTGGGTTATGGGCCTCGGCGAGAGGGAGAGGAGTACTACATGATATAGAGTAGTAGCCTAGCGTGTGGAGTGGAGGGGTGGACGTGCATGCCGTTTGTGGTAGTGCACTCCGTCGTGTCTAATTCTTGTACATAACCCTCTTTCGTCTATAAAGCTAAGGTACGCAATTTGCGTACTCTCAAAAAAATATTTTGCATAACTGCTTCATGACTTGCACATGCACAGCACATCCAAACAGCAACAGGGAAGAAGATGACAGCACGAGCACTGGTACACTTGGATGTTGGAATTCATTAACATTTCCAGGATACAGCGAAGAGAGAACCAGCAAGAAGATTTGTGAATAAGTACAGTAAAGTGATGGTAACTAGCAAAATCTGAGTTGATGTTACAAACAGAAAATTTATAAGGCCACCAATGCCTAATAGATTACAGGAAGAGAAACTTTCAATAATGTCTACACAGAGGCTCATCCGGAGAGAAACTTTCTAACCTCATCAAGTAGGTACAAATTCGGGGGGAGAGGGCAAGAACCGGGCGACGAATGTCCACACTGCGATGCACAGCAGCACTAACTGAACGGAACAAAAAAGTGAAGCTCGACTCGCTCCGGCCTGCAGCTTCAGGACCTCTGAAGCGTTCGACAGCTCTTTGCATTGCGACTCTAGCTTCTCCACCAAATCCTCTAGTGTCCTCGCTCTATTCTCGGTGTGCCGAAGCTTGACCTCCAGCTGTTTGTGATCCTCAGACAGAGTCTTCTGCGCTTCGTGAAAAGTGCCCTGACCCTCGGTCTGCGGTTGCCAAGCTTCTGAAGCTCTTTTCAGGATGAAGCACTGGATCTCGGCCTCCATCTTCTCCATGAGCAGTTGATCAACTTCAGACTGTAGGGAAAGTAGCTTGCTATTGTATAGCGCGGTTTCCCCTGGTTGTGTCTTGTTGAGTGTATCAAGTTCAAGTATTCTTGAATCCTTCTCATCGATGAGAAGGGAAGCTTCTTCCAGCTTGGACTCTAGAAGCTTCAACTTCTCACTTATTTCTTCTGAAAAATCTTCGCAATTGGGTGAACTGCTCCATTCATTTTCATCGTAATTGTCTGTGGAATTGTCACTGCTTTCTTTCCCGATTTCCACAAACATTTGGAGCTCTGCAGAAATATGCAGAAGCAAACAGTTATTGCAAAAAAAAAACACTTTGACTGAAGCAAATAATGATTCCATGTTTTCAACAAAACATTTTCGTCCAACTGCAATGATACGGCAACAGAGCACTCACGAATTTATAAAAGGAAATGGACTAAGGAAACTTCCCAGAACATGCAGGGCAAGCAGATGCTTTTACACTTTTTTTTAATGCTATAATGGCTGCTACTGAAACTACTAGGAAATATAACCTTGTGGACTGCAGAGCACAAATTTTCTTTCTTAAAACTAGGAGATAAAACAGACCACTTGATCTGATATGAAATATACATTAAAAAAATTGCCAGAGAATATAATGATATAAAACACAAGAAATCTTTTCTCACGAAATGGGAAAGTCCACAATGGCAGTAATTAATTGCCAGAGCATTGAACTAACGAATTGATCAACTCATCAAGTCACCACTTAACTGTTGATAGTCTGATGTGTTAAACAGCAAAAAAGAACATGCATAGTGTATTCCTTTTTAAACAAGCATTGTTATCACCGTTAACACCTCGCCTTAAAACTAAACTGGAATACAATATCAATAAGGACTGTTTTGGCAGGATGTCCTAACATAATGTGAACCAAGTTCTACACCAGGTTTGCCATATTTTTGCATGGGACCAAGCTCATTGAAAAGTGGAGAAGCGCCCTTCCCTGTAGCCAGTATATTTTATAACAACTGTAGCCTCCATTCCCTCATCCGCCACCAAAGCTGTGTATTCACACCACAGCTGACACCCTCACATCGCTAAGTAGCATCGATGTGTCCTAATTTCTAACTCGCAATCATGTATGCTCTAAGTTTGGCTGGAAGTTCATCATCTCCATTACTACAAGTAATGTCTTCTTTGCCGGGTTCTTTTCCTATCAGAGATCAACTTCTTTTCTCTTCCATCTCAATTATTACTACAAGCTAGATATGTTGATGAAACATGGGTTACTAAATCATCAACTTCCCTTCCATCTCAATTCTGTTAATGATATGCTCACTATCACCAGGCTTCCATGAGGGAAATGAAAATAAATCAGCATTCGGATTCCCTCTTGACAAGGCTTAATAAATTAAATTCAACTGTGATTTTCAGTGAAATCAATAGGCAGAAAATGCAAAAACTGGTTTCTTTTTTCACAATGGCCAAAAGGTGACTTCTGCACAACTAGGAACCTCATAAGTTAACTGGCATGCCTGTGCACGTCGGACAGGAAGTCACTGCATTGAAGGGGCCAAGCATATGTGGGTGGGGTGGTGGTGTACCAAGAAGAGAAAGAGACTGATGTAACCACATCCTGCAGATCCAACATGAGAACGAAGCAGCAGCAACAGGGTAGGAGAATGACCACTTTTCCCTAATAATGGCTATTGAAGATGATACGCTTTCTTCAGAATTGACATGTTACTGAATCCACAACACTTGGTATGACCGAAGCATGAGGCCACAGTGGATTAAACTTGTCAAAATTAGTATCTAGGATCCTCTACAAACATCATGGATGTATGCATTGTCCCATTTATTGTTGATCACTATTGTAATGCATCAAGTTTTCAGTTATTTCCAGCTAATAAAGTAGGTCGTTTTAGGAAACCAAATGGTTTAATCTCAAAATGAATAGCTGAACAAAAATACTCGTTAGTAGTAGAAATTCTGAACTACGCCGTCTAAGGTCTAAGATAGTAAGTAGGCTATGTGAAATGCAGATTTCCATGTTAAATAGTAAGAAACACCTGCTCGATCTAATTGAATAAACTCGTTGGCTCATCAAGCTAAAGTGAAAGGGATATTTTACGAGAATAAACTAAAGGGGGATTATATAATCATACCATTCTCGAGTGCTTCTTGTGCTGACTGAAGCATCGAAATTGAGTCGGCGTACGGATCAAGACCTGAATGGATCCCTCCATTCTCACCCTTGCCGATGCTCCCTTCATGAAATCCATGACCATGGGCATACAAATCACCATTCCCCATTGCCATTCTCCCTACTGCACTTCCATTCTCCTTATAGAAACCTCCAGCTGCGGATCGCAAGTGCTCACTTGGAGCTTCATCATCGCTGTGATCGCCATCAGCGTAGAGAAACTTGTGAACGCCATTACTGCTGATGCCAGCGCTTGATTTTCGGGCGTGAGCAGCGCCAGTGCTGCGGAGGTCAGACTCGACACTGGAGCGCGAGTTCTCCGGCTCCACCGTGGAGGAGGCCGCAGAGACGGCGCGCGCACCGGCGCCACGGGCGCGTGCGGTACGGATGTTCTTGGCGTGAGCAGCGGCGCCAGGCGCGCGGGATCGCGCCCTGTCGCGGTCGCGGCCGAAGCCGGCGAGCGAGAAGTCGTGGCGCGGGAGCGCGGTGGACTTGCTGGTCCGGTCGTCGCTGTTGTCGGAGTCGGCGCCGCCGGCGCCCACCGAGAAGCCGGCGGACGCGATCAGGAGGCCAAGATCCGGGTCCAGACTAGTCAGAGCCGGAGCCGGGGACGGCGACGGAGGCGCCTCCGGCGGCACGAAGCTGGACTCGACCGACGCGACCGGGCTGTCATCCTCGGCCGCCGCGTCCTGCTTCCCCTTAGGCGCGTCGGCGCCGACGGGGAGACGGCGCTTATGGAGCTGCGCCAGGTCCACCTCAGCGCTAGCAGCGCCGGTGCCGGCGGCGGCTGCGGGGGCCACGGGGCCCGCGGGGGAGCCGCCATCGTCCTCGTGGTGCTCGCGGGGGATACGGCGCCACCGGCGGAGGCCGCGGCCCTTGGCGGCCGGGCGACCAGGAGGGGAGAGCGGCGGCGGCGACTCGCCGACGGAGCCGACGCTGTTGGCGCCGGAGTCCATGCCGTCCGTCCGGCGCCAATTGGCGTCAACGCCGGCGGGCCTGGGAGGCGGATGGGATCAGGGAGCTGGGAGGGGAGCGCGCTGGGGTTGTCGGGAGCGCATGGCGGGGCTACGAGGATCGGGAATTCCTGGGATTCGATCTCGGACCCGGAGATCCAACCGAGGAGGAGTGGAAGTGGGGAGGAAGCAGGGGGAGGGGGAGTAAAGAAAACAGGGGAATGGAGATGGAGTTTTCCTTATCGTTATGGTCGTTCTGGCAGCAGCTTCTATGATGCCTGTCTTCTGTACTTGATTACGCAATCTACCAAGATCAGTTTATTGCCTTTCGAGCACCGTCGGATCGGGACAATCGAGTGGCGGCAGCAGGAGGAGCGAGCCAGACGGCCTGCGACGGCGACGGCGATGGCTAGACGGCTAATGCGACCAGGTGCCCTGGTGTATGTCAAATGGCCTCATGGGTTTCTACATCATTTTAATAAGTCGGATCCACCTTTTAGAAAAAATTTAGACCCTAGCTGGTGAACGTTCATTGGGGGAGGATGGCATATGGGAACGACTTCGTGCCAGTTTTATTTGTGAGGAAGTGACGAGGGGTGGCATTTTCTACGGACGACATGGTAGTTTCTTCGCCGATAAGGCAATTTTCGTTTAAAAACTATAGCGGTTTGATCTTTCCTTGCAACTAAAACTACTATCAAATGATGTTCGCTTGCCAACCCTTTTAGATGAAGGTAAACATTCTGCATCGGCTGGCCAGCTACGTCTCTTGCCGGTCGCGCACGAACCGCCCGATCGAGGCAAGATCGCGCAGCGCCATGCGGCTTTATGGCCCACACGCGTTGCCCCTTATGCTCTCATGCGTTGCTCTCCTCCACTTTGTGTTCCTTGGCGTAAACACAATCCCTTCTCTTTTGTTTCTCTTCTTCTCCAACGAACTACATATCGCATGGCTACATCTTCGGGGCTCAGACCATGCACTACCATGACGGGCGTTCCTTGAGCTTGACCGCCTCCTCTCTCTACCTCCGCGTGAGGGTCGATGTTGCTCTCCCACCTCCCCATCTCGTGTCGCAACCACGTGTTGGGGATGCTGGGACCGCTGTACAAGGATGTTGCGACCTTCCAATTGTGACGGAGACCCATCCGGTGATGCTCGGACCGTCTATCGAGGATGTCGCGACCGGTAGCGGTGCTATAACGGCGAGCGGCGGTTTGCTGGGATTGGCACTACGGGTCCGGCAATACCAAATGTTGCCATCCAGATGCTGAAACCTGCAACATCAATTACCAGAACTGCCTCGTCGAATGTCGCGGCCGGTTGATGAGTCCAATTCGGCATCACATCTTACGTCTTGTTTTGCATCGTAGTCGTAGGATTTTCAAGATTTTATGGCATTGGCACACTCTTTTCGGCTTATTCTTTTAAGATCCTAATGAAGAAGGAGATTTGAGTTATTAAAGAAAGAAACGTCAATACAAGGGTGAAAATCACGCTTATTGGCGTGATAATAACCTACCATATGAAGCATCAATCAAATGGGAGAAAAACAACAGTGCGGGCGCTTCCAGAGGCGAAGACAACATCTGGTACGAGCATGCCCACTCGTACCGTGCGGCGCGGCCACCCTCTGATCGACTACTTCAACTCCATGCCTTTGGATCGCGCAGACGAGACACAAAGAGACCAGAACACGCACCAGAACAAGAACCCTAGCCTCTGGAAGGAGTTTAGAGGGGGGTATTGACAGAAGGGCTCCGTGACAGAGCTAAGTCCGGCAGATCTTGGGCTTGGGGATCCCAAACTAGGCGATTGGACATGATGGTAACACAAAATGTTACTCGGCCAAGCAACGCTTGATATCCACTTCGAAAGGGACCATGTCGAAGCCCAATACTTCGATACGATAGTTATTAGGAGTTGAATACCACGACCAACTTCAACCTTCATGTGCAGTGGATTTCCTTTCTCGGGATGATTCCCTTAAACATTGTCTTACCGGGTTGGATACGCAATGGGTGAAACTGCATTTTTCTTAAGATTTCTGCACAGATGAGGTTGAGATTTCTACCGCCGTCCATCAGAACCCTGGTTAGGTGGAAGCCATCTGATGGGGTTGAGGACGAGTGCGACGACGCCCTCATTGTGGATTCCTACATGATCATCTCAGTGATCAAATGTGATCGGAATTTCCGACCATGGGCTATGTTGTGGTTGCACGGGCTCTACGTTCTACACTTCCCGGAGCATGCGCTTTCGTTGATTCTTCGAGGTAGGTGTATCGTAGATCATGTACACATCCTTTACGTCAGACGAGTATTGCTTCTGAATGCGATGATTTTTCCCACCGGGGCAATGCCCCTCGCCATCATCATGTGGGTTGGGCTTCCCTGGATGTATGGTCCTGGCCTCAGTGACACACCTGAACACCCAACAATTCTGATTTGTATGGGTAACAGGTCACTCCAACGTCCCAGGGTGTATGGCACATGACTGGCTAAGGATTATGTTCAGCTGATAGATGCAATCGTTTAGATCATCCCTGGACACCTGCGTGGGGTCTTTCTGTCATGTGTACTTGTACATGGGGACGACCGGTGCTACTTCTTGAGCTTGCGTTGGTTTTTCCCTTGAAGAGGAAAGGGTGATGCAGCAAAGTAGAGATAAGTATTTCCCTCAGTTAAGAACCAATGTATCAATCCAGTAGGAGGAACACACACGTCTCCAATAATTGCACCTGCACAAACAAACAAATACTTGCACCAAACGCGATAAAGGGGTTGTCAATCCCTTCACGGTTACTTGGAAGAATGAGATCTGATAGTGGTAGATGTAAAAGATAAATAAAAGTGCAAAGTAAAATAAAAGTAAAAAATTACAACAAGGTATTTTTAGATTTTTAATTTTGTAGATTGAAAATAATATGATAAAAGGTACACCCGGGGGCCATAGTTTTCCCTAGAGGCTTCTCTCTTGAAACAATGCAGACGGTGGGCGAACAAATTATTGTTGAGCAATTGATAGAAAAGCGTGTGATTATGACGATATCCAAGGCAATGATCATGTATATAGGCATCACGTTCGAAACAAGTAGACTGACTCCTGCCTACATCTACTACTATTACTCCACACATCGGCCGCTATCCAGTATGCATCTAGTATATTAAGTTAACAAAAAGGGAGTAATGCCTTAAACAAGATGACATGATGTAGAGGGATAGATCCAATCAATATAAAAAAACAATCTTTTTACCCTTAATGGCAATAATACAAATACGTGTCATGTCCCCCTTTATCATTGGGATTGAGCACTGCAAGATTGAACCAATTACAAAGCACCTCTCCCATTGCAAGAAAAATCAATCTAGTTGGCCAAACTAAATCAATAGATCGGAGAGAAATACAAAGCTATGTAAATCATGCATAAAAGAGTTCAGAGAAGACTCAAATAATATTCATAGATAATCTGATCATAAACCCGCAAATTCATCGGATCTCAACAAACACACCGCAAAAAAATATTAAATCGAATAGATCTCCAAGAACATTGAGAAGAACATTGTATTGAAGATCAAAGAGAGAGAAGAAGTCATCTGACTACTATCTATGGACCTGTAGGTCTATGGTAAACTAATCACACATCATCGGAAGGGCAACAAGGTTGATGTAGAAGCCCTCCATGATCGAATCCCCCTCTGGCGGAGTAACGGAAAAGGTCCCAGATGAGATCTCAGAAGACAGAAACTTGCAGCAACGGAAAAGTATTTTTTGTGTGCCCTCTGGTCTACGGGGAATATTTGAGAATTTATAGAAAAATAATTAGGGTTAGAGGAGCCACAGGGGGGCCACAAGTTTGGAGGGCACCCCCCTAGGGCATGCCCCCTGATCTTGTTGCCTCCTCATGGCCCTTCTAGCCTCCTCCTGAAGTTTCCAAGGTGTATTGTGGTCCAAGAAAATTTGTCAAAAAGTTTCGTTGCATTTGGACCCGGTTTGGTATCGTTTTTCTGTAAAGACAAAAACAAGGAAAAAACAGCAACTGACACTAGGCACTAGGTTAATAGGTTAGTCCCAAAAAATGATATAAAATAGCATAATGATGCATATAAAACATCCAAGATTGATAATATAATAACATGGAACAATAAAAAAGTATAGATACATTGGATATGTATCAGACGACCCTGCAGAGGGAGCATGCGATGCCCCACCCATGTCTTGATGATGTGGCCATCCCCTCGGGCTGCACTTCTTCAGGCGGGCAACTTGGTGTTGGGGCGGAGCTGCAGGATGGCTCCTCCAAGGTCGCAAATGGTGTCGCCATTGGTCTGAACGCAGACCCGAAAGAAGTACCAGAACAACTCAAAATGGGGGTTGTCCCGAGAAAGCACTCGCAAAAAGGTGATGAAATTTGTGATGTGAAGAACTCTGCTCGGTGAATGTCGTGCAGCTGGCAGACGTAGAAGCACAGCAGCCCACGAACGAAGCCATGGAGGGGAAACCCCAACCCCCTCTTGAAATACTCAATGCAGAGAATATGCTCACCATCGTGAGGAGTTCGCGAAGCCTTGTTCCCCGGGAGGCGACATTCAGGATCTGCCAGCATCAACTCTGTCTCCACGAGGGCCTAAAGTTCTCTGGCAGTGGCCGGGGAAGGGACTAATATTCCGTGCTGGCCCTCTTCCTCTTTAGCCTCACCCCAACGACAAGTGGATCTTGGCTGGGAATTCGAGGATCCTTCTCGCTCCTGGTTCTGTCCATCTTGATGGCGAGGATGGGGCCAACTGGGGTTACGCAAGCGGGCGGTGAATAGTACGCGATGACGGAACACTTTCGGGAGCTCGAGACAGGAAGGCAGAAATGGATGGAGACGAAGGAAGGGGAAAACCTTCATGTTTCCCCCCCTCCTTATAGCTAGCTTGAAACCGAAGCACCTGACCTTGCGACATGCCATGTGCACTACACATCTGAAGTTCCCAGTTTCGTGAGGTGAGGCGCATGGAAT